GATTTGCATATCAAAGACATCTTTACAGACACATCACCCAAAGCAGTGATAGTGAAGACAAAGATAAACAGCTGGGACTACATCAAATTAAAGAGCTTCTGCACAGCAAAAGAGACAATAACAAAAACAAAGAGAAACCCCACCAACTGGGAGAACATTTTTGCACCCAACACTAATGATAAAGGACTGATCACAAAAATCTGCAAAGAGCTGATGAGACTCAACAACAACAAAGAAAATAATCCAGTCAAAAAATGGGCAGAAGAGGGCCTCCCCGGTGGCGCAGCGGTTGAGCGCTGGGTTGCGAACCTGCCCGCGGCCTCTGCGGCGCCGGTTCGATCCCCGGCTGCTCCCCGGCCACCGGAGGAGGGTCCCGCATGGCGCGCAGACCTCTCCTGCCGCCCGCTGCTCCCCTCAGCAGTGTACTTCGGTCCTTCTGCCTGCTCTGCTCCCCGCTCTGGCTCTGGTGAATTCTCTCACCCTCCCGCGCTTCTGACTGTACCCAGTGCATGTATAAACAAAAACAAACAAACAAACAGATAAATAAATAAACATGCCTATATAAAAAAAAAAAAAAAAATTAAAAAAAAAAAAAAAATGGGCAGAAGAGCTAAAAAGAAACTTCTCTGAAGAGGAAATGCAAATGGCCAACAGACATATGAAAAAATGTTCAACATCACTTGTAATCAGGGAAATGCAAATCAAAACTACCATGAGATACCATCTCACACCAGTGAGAATGGCACATATTAAAAAAACTAGCAACAACAAATGTTGGCGAGGATGTGGAGAAAAAGGAACTCTCCTGCACTGTTGGTGGGAGTGCAAACTGGTCCAACCACTGTGGAAAGCTGTGTGGAGATTTCTGGACCTACTAAACATAGAGCTTCCATATGACCCAGCAATTCCACTCCTAGGTATTTACCCAAAGGACACAGAAACATCAATTCCAAAGAGCACCTGCACCCCTATGTTTATAGCAGCACTGTTTACAATAGCTAAGCTTTGGAAACAACCCAAATGCCCAAAAATAGATGACTGGATCAAGAAGATGTGGTACATATATACCATGGAATATTACTCAGCATTCAAAAAAGATAAACACATGCAATTTGCAGCAACATGGATGGCGCTGGAAGGGATCATGCTCAGCGAAATAAGCCAAAAAGAAAAAGAAAAATACCGGATGGTCTCACTCATAGCAGGAATCTAGAAAACTTAAATAAGGGACCAGGAAAATGAATATAAGAAAGTGAAAATCAAAATCAACAAAAAACTATGAACCAGAGACACTTTTTGGGGGGGGGGGGGCGGGAGGGGAAGGATTGGGGTCAGAATGGGGCGTTTGCAATTGTATGGGGGAATATAAAAATAAAATTTAATATTAAAAAAAAATAAAAAAAATAAAAACTGTAAGAAACTTAAAACCAAAAAAAAAAAATAAATAAAATGACAGCATTCTAAAGAAAGAGAAATCATTTGGGCATTCCAGCAAGATACTACAGTCCCCTATAAGGGAAAGAAAGTCAAACTGTCTTCAGACATCAACAAAATTGGTATCTTAGAAGATGACAGAGACAATTTAAGGTATTTTACACAAGAAAATGTGAGCCACAGGGTTTTAATTTCCAGTAAAGTCTAAAGGCAAGTGACTCACTATTGTGAATTTGTAAGAACTCAGGGCATACTGTTTTTGTAAGTCCGACTTGAGAAATCGACTTCAGTAGAAATTCTCAAAGAAGTTCTCCTGAGCCTCCTCCAAGAATCTGTGAAGCTAACACAATTTTCATAATACTAAGCCACAATTTGCCCTTTTCTTTTTTCTTTTTTTTTAAAGATTTATTTAATGTACACAAGAGCTGGAGTACAGGCCAGAGGTGTGGGGGGGGGGGCGGTGAGAGGAGTCACCAGAGACAAGAGTGGGGAACAGAACAGGCAGACTGACTGAAATACACTGCTGAGGGGAGCAGCGGGCGCATCAGGAGAAGTCTGCTGTGCCATGTGGGCAGCTCCCTGGCTAACTAGAGATCACCTTGTGCTGCAGAGGCTGCAGACAGCTTCACAGGTTGCGTTTTAACCCCTTGAGCCACCAGGGAGCCCCAATTTGCCCTTTTCACTCTTACCATTTGCACAATGAGTGGACAAAGCAAGGCAGGGCTCCTAGGCTCAGAAGCAACCACACTCACACACTGGGGGAAAATGTAAAAATTATTAACAATATTTAATCTTTTAACCTAAGTATTCTGGATGAGATGGGAATTATACATTGAATTATACTTACATAAACTATAGTTACTCAGACTCGGGTATCTGAAAGATATTTTCTTGAAAATGCAAAAAGTAGGCCCAGCACTTCAATTGCCAGGGTTACCAAAGTTAAAAGTCAAGCTTACAAAGTGGAAATTAGAATTTGGGGAGAATGATGGCCACCAGTGTAAGGGCGGTACATTCCCATCACTAAAAGATTTCTCATGAAAAGAAACAAGTACGACTTTTTTTTCAGTACTTTAAAATAAAATATATTAACATTTGGAAGAACTGGAAATAGTGAACTCATGATTTCAAGTGACCAATGTATGATGTTACAAAATCATCCATGAGCCACAGGTCCATTCAATGTAGAGACAGTCCAGTGAATTTTAAGGTAACCAACCATACAAAAAAATTCATTGATACCTCATTAGGTTTTAAATTGCTACCAACCTTTAAGAAATCACCACTTCTTGAGTTTTGGTATAGTCTCAAACAAATCATCCTCAATTATCTGAAAAGTAAACTTTCATCATTGTCCCTTTTCCAACTACTTTTATGTGTATGGTCAGAATACACAATTAAACAATATATGAAAGATTAAATATAGAAACAAGAGAATCTTATTGTCTTCTTTCTATTAGGCCAGATATTAAAGAGATTTGTACTATCACTCTTCTCAGTAAAAACTTTTTAGTTTAAATATATAATTTTTCCATAAAAATCTAATTCAGGTTATCATGTAATCAGTTTTTTATTTAAAAAAATAAATAGGTATTTAAAAATATTTCATTTAAATTTCTAATACATAAACATCAATATCTATAACTTACATAAACAAAAAATAGCTCTTGGGGGATTTAAGCAATTTTGGGGAGGAATATAAATAGGCTGTTCTTAAGATCAAAAAAGTTTGAGAAATGCTATACTAGGAATACCACATTTGGGACATCAACAATTTTGAAAGCAGTATAAGCCACAGTCCTGTTGCAGAGGGGCTTAAGACTGAGCAGTATTCAGCGAAGGAGGGGAGGGCTGTGAGAAGCCAGATCCAGGGATGACCTGAATCCCCTGGCTGTGGACAGAACAGGCCCAATCTGGACAAAGGGTCTGGGAGCCCCACTGAGGATGAAATACATGACTCAGTTATGCAGACAGCTACCGGGGAGAGTGGAGCTGAGTATGATAATGAAAAGAATATAGGGCAAAGTTCATCTAAGCATTTTTAATAACATACTTCTTCACTACTGAGTTACACAATTCAGCTTGAGTGGTTACTACTTGGCATGTGTAGTTATAATTAATAATACATTTACACAGCCAAATAAAACATTTCTGGGAGACAAAAAACAGGGCAGGGCTAAAAACCTTCTGGAATCTCTGCAGGACTCAGAACAGTAGCTGGTTAGTGGGTCGCACTGTTGTCTGGTGCCTCTGTGACATCCTCTCTAGTCTTTACCTGGAATATTCTTATGTCTCCTTGTGGTCCTGCCCTGTCCCACCCTTCCCAGGGTGACAGATCACCTCCCTAATGGACTTAGTGTTAGGCCTAGTTCCTGGGCCTAGTGCTACCAGATGCAGGAATGAAAGTCTTCCAAGTAGGGGGCTCCCTGCTGCCCCTACCCTGGATAGTACTGCACCCATGGAGTCTTAGGTGACAGTTGGAGCACAGGGCCATGCCTAATTTCTCTCATTGCCCCTGAGGCCATCAGACACATAGGTGTCACACAGGGAGGAAGAAAAAAAGCAGAAATAACAGACAATGAAGGGAGCTAGGAAAGGAATTTTAATTAGAGAGAGGCTGGAAATGGTAGAGAAGATGTAGTAAAAAAGGCATAGGCACTCTGAAGGGAGGTGCTGACACCTCATCTTGAAACCATAACTGATGGGGAGGGCACCTCAAGATGTCTAGCCATAGAAATGTGCAGGTGAGAAGCGGGCAGGCACTATGCTTTCTATCTTTTCAGACCTAACATCTGGGAGGTTTTTCTATTCCTCTCCTAATCCAGCTGCCTTTAGTCTGGAGTTCTTTCTTTACTTCTGCCTTGTATTTTTCAGTTCCCTGTAATACCTATCCCACAATGATAAAATATCACTAGTTTAATCAAAGTGAGTGAGGGAAAGTCAGTGAAAACTCTAGGTACCCTAGTGAAAACCCCAGCATGCTGATAACAAGATAGAGAGAGGGTAACAGCACCCTGTGAGGTTCTGCTTGAGGACTCACATCTCTGGTGCAAAAACACTGCTATTTACGTGACTCATTGTGTGGCTGTCACAGGACAAACTCTGCTCTCACAGAAACTGAAGCCAACTGCGGTTGGTCCACACCTACGGACGAGGCTGCACCTGGGCGAGTGCACTTGTGCAGCATCTCCTGGCAGGGTGACGTCTGTTTACCTGAAGGCTGGGCCACAGCACATTCACGACTCAGCTCTTGGGCCCTTGTACTGCTTACCCCACCCTGCTAGAGACCAGATCGTACCTGTCAGAGGACTTGGAACACTGAAGATCCAGATGTGATGTCAGTGCAAAATAGAATTGGCCTATTTAAAGCTTCTGGCTACAATCACAAAAACATTAAGATACAGAACTGGCTGGATTTCCAGTTCATCAGGGACACAGTGTCCCCAAAAAGAACCTAGACCTCCAGCTGGAGATTTCCACCAGTCTCCTGGAATGTTGATTTCTGGCATTTTCCATTCCCATTTCTCAATTTGTAATATACGATGATGAGATGCATGAGGCCCCACCTGTCTCCCTGGAGGCCCGGAGCCGCTGGCCATTGCAGAAGGCGCCCTGACCCCGCCGGCCTGTGTACAGCCGCTCCTCAGTGCAGTGGTAAATGACTCCAAACTCAAGCTGCAGGGTCAGGGCAGGACAGAAAACAAATGTGGTTCACTTATTTGACACAAAAATAACACAGTAATTGAGGTGAAGGTGTTCTAGGATTTAGGACTCATGAAATGATGAAGGGATAGAAATTACCTTTCAAATAGGAACTGAAAAGAACCAGTGTCTAGATTCAAAACTAGACCTGGACAAGAAAGCAGACTTTCTTTTTAAAGATAATTATATTTAGAAATAAATTAAAACCAATGTAACTATATTAAAAATTAACACCAAAATTAAGCATTAGTACATAAAAGTTAATAAAAATGTTGAATGCTGTAGAAAGGTCTCTTTTTTTCCTGGGAAAAAGAAAAGGCTATTTGTGACTCTTTAAACACAAGAAAACCTCAACTTCGCTGATGTGAAGAATTAAGAATGCATCTGAAAAGCCAACAGAATAACAGAACCCAACGCCAGTCCCAGGAAGGGAGATGCAGTTCACAAAAGGGGGCTCATCCAGGTGACAAAGGCCTGTGATGACACAGCCTAGTAAGGAACAGCAAAAGAAGTGGTGAACAAGGAAAAATCATCTGCCAACACCCACATATTTGCGTTGCCTTTCCTGTACAAACTTCACTGCTCATGGTTAACAGCAGCAAGTATGCTTGGTCTGGGGGTGAGCCCAGTCAAGGGCATGTGGCCTGGATCTCTCTTTACTTTCAAGAAATGAACACCGGGCTAAAGTCTCGGCCATAAAATGGAATTGATCATACTAGAATGGTTCCCAAGACTGCCAAAAAAGGGTTTATTTCTGGGGAGGATGGTGTGGTCAGCACTTACTGAACACCTACAGCCTTCCAGCAGTACTTGCTGTGCTGCCCCTTCCCACTGCCCTGGCTGTCCACTCAGAGGAGCCATAGAACTTGCTGACCTCACAGAACCTGCATGGAGTCCATGTACCCCTGGGGCAGGCAGCTTAGAGGCCTGCGCTGGCAGGAGGAAAGGCTGAGGAGTGTGGGGTGATGCCCTTCATGAGGGGCTCCACCACAAGCCTAGGCCACCCAAGTATATCACACATACCAGATCCACCACAGCCAGGACCTTGCCGGCTGCAGGGTGTCTATCCCATCCTCAATTAGTGTCTGTCCCACTCAACATGGTGTTGAGAGTGTCACCCCTAAATTCACTGATCAGCTTCCTGCTCAGTCTCAACCACAACATTTAATGAAGAAAACAGTAACTCCTTACCCACATTTCAATATTAAAATTTCTGCTTATGTTCAACTAAGTATGCTTTCGTGGGCATAAACATCTCTCAGTTTCTGTGCTAGGGAATCTATGCTAATACTGAAGATTAAGATGAAAGGTGTTCTAAAGGAGAGCTGCTCTTGCAAAACACTGAGCACTCAGTCCTACTTAAATAAAACAAAAAAGGAAACTGAGGCTTTTCTGAGTGTTATTGCCTGAGTTGATTAATAAAGTGTAAGCCTCACTTCTTGCCTTTTATGCAGATACCACGTGACTGCTTAGTTCTGAGGGCCTATGGGAACCCTGAAATGGTCACACTCTCATACTAATAGCTAAAGAAAGATGAAGAAAGATGAATTGAATATTGGGATTAAGACTGTCCTCTAAAAATAGGAGCTCCTTTTGTGTGTACTTGATCACACGCTCCAGGGGTCAGATGGACACAAACTTGGACCCTTTGCTCAGAACTTCCCTTCCATGCAGTGTCACAGAAGACACAGGGGAAACAGTGGCAGCAGGAGCCCCAACCTGACCCATTCCCAGCCAGTTTGGCACTTGTTTACTTTGTCAGATTTGAAAAACACTTGCTTGGATTTACTACTCATGATTGAGGCAGATGTCAAGAGAGGAAAACTGGAGTGCTGAGGTTGAAACCAAAAAGGAAAATGACTAAAAGAAACCCCAGCTGGAGCCCCAGGGAACCCACCATGTACCTCTTGGTTCACAGCAAACCCAATGCTTACTGCCACGGTTGGAAATCTGCAAAGAAAAACAGAAAGGCTTATACTCTAAAACATAAATGGAGTCCACCAAAATGCAGACTCTTAGAAGCCTCTGTGTGGCTGTGCAGCAGTGTCACCCAAGGCACAGAAGGGCCTTTCTACAGCATGTTTGTGTTTTTTTTTTTTTTTCAAAACCACTTCCCACAATTTTACTAACTGCTTCCAAGACAAACAGGCTCAGTGGACCATGCTGTAGGACAGTTAACCCTGAAAGAAAGCAGTATTCTCAAAGTCACATAAGAAATGATCACGTGAGACCCAATTGTGAGGGATTTTCATCCTCCGTTTTCTGGTTCCCACAGACCTAAAGGGACAGCAGAGACCTCCCTGTCCCAGGTGGGTTGAGACAGGGTCCCCAGAGGCAACATGGCAGGTGTGTGCCGTGGACCCACCGGAGGCCAGGCTTAAGGGACAACGTGCCCTTCCTCACCAGTCTCCTACGTGAGCTTCCAAGCCACCACAGCAGGCTGGGTCTCAGGGGTCTGAGGTACATGGTGACGTCACTGTGCCCGTGGTTTTATTTTGTGACTTTGTTGCTGCTATACTACATCTTCAAAATCTCTCCTTTATGTGAGAATCATCAGAGCTTAAAAACAAGTAGGAATAAGGAAAGGCTGGGTCTTGCTAGCTTACAGGAAAAACATGAAGCCAGTCATGCCAGATCCGGCCTCACTGGCGAGGGGCAGTGGCAGCCCTGCTGTCACGGGTGCTCAAGGGCATGGATGCCGCAGGCCAGGATCCACTTTAGTTCAGTTCTTGGAAGAGCTCTCTTGATTGAGTCCTGGTGCTGCTAAGCACAGAATGCACAGGTCCTACCTGGGCTGCAAGGTCACAGGCTTCCGAGTATCTACAGGCCACAAGAATCACTAAGGTTGTGCTCTGGGTCTGTAAGAGCTGCTCCACAGATTGTTTTCCAAACAACGCTCTTCTCCAGATTGTCTCTCTGGCCCTACAGTCCCTGTGGCCGTGGGACCACCAGGACTCTCCATCAAGGAGAGATGCGGCCTCCACCATGAAACAGGCTCAGCCCACTCTGACCCCATGACATGGAAAAGCAGCAGCATATACTTTACTCAGCAAGATGTACCTTAGGGGAGACCTGTGATTGCACTGATCTCCCCAGGGGTGTTGCGCTTTAGTCTGATGAATGCTGTCACCAGATGGCACTATTCCACTGCCTCAAAAGGGCCACCTGTATATGCATCACAGAATTCTCAAAATAACCCATCTTTAGAAAAGGATGATGACTAACATGATATATTAGAATTTTTTTTAGATACTTACATAGATAGATACCATTTGAGAGAAAGTATAGAGGAAAGCACCAAGAGCAAGGACCTCCCCCACAATCTGGCTGTGCTTCCTAGTCATCTGTGGCAGGCTCTAAAAGTGAACTCCAGCTGCCCCAACCCACTAGATGGGGATCTGGGGGAGGGCCAGGAGTGTGCCAACCCCCTGTCCAGGGGAGTCTGTGCAGGGTTACTTTTCCCTCTGTGGAAACCACATCACTTCTGGTGCCCTTGGGTCCTCAGACAAGTGGTACAACTAACACCTGCCCCACTTATCTGAGGTTCTGAGGCCATGTCCCCATCACCTCCCTGAACTCTGCAGCTCACTTCTCTCCCACAAACAGCCGCTCTGACCTCATGAAAACTCACTGCTATTTTTGCCTAGTCAGATTAGCTTGGGGAAGCATCTAGCGGCTTCCTTTCATTGGTGAAATTCTAATACATCATTCCCATTAGTCTGTGACAGAAGGTTTGCGCCCAGCTCCAAAGTTGACTCTAGAATTTTGCCCTTAAGTGCCACTGTCTACACCTCAGGGCTGCACAAGTGTGTTTTTTAACTCTGCTTGTTTCTCCAGAGCATCCTGAAGGGGCTCCTTTTCAATTCTAGTCCACATTTTAAACATAACAACCCCATGGTTTTTAAGCAAGTGAAGATCTCCGACATGGCTCTGCGTCTCTCACAAATACCTTATTATTAAACAAGGGAAGACTTCTCACCCTTTTTAATGAGACTATATACCTACCACAGTTTGCTTATATACTCCTGACCCCAAAAAAGCTGCTTTGGAAAAGACACAGACTGCAAGAACAGGATGCGTTAGGCCCCAGTGTTGGCTGGCCAGTGCTTATGCTCACCTATGCACAAAGTTGCAGGTTCCATCGATGGGGTCGACGATCCAGGTGGGGCTGGGAGTGAGCACACACTTGGCCCCCGCTGCTGCAGCCTCTTCCGCAATGAACCTGTGGAGGGTGGTAGCTCAGCCTGAGAGACACATCAAGAACTCAAGGCAAAGTGCTGCAAATGGCTTCTGGCCATTAAAGACAATGCAAATGCAACAGAGATTACATTATGGTTTCTCCTGAGGCAGAGTCTGTATATTTCAATCTGTCCACTAGTCCACATACTCAGCAGGAATTAGAAAAGACAGTGACACCTTAAGGTTGGGGCTTTAGAAAAGCATCAAGCTGTGGACCAGGTGGAAGAATATAAGCATGATAAACCTGATAAATCAAAGCTAAATTCTAATTTAATTTTGGTCTGGAGGACAGCAAGCTGAAGAGAAACTCAAGAACATCAGGAATGCCAGTGGGGAGCAGTGCCCAGGACTCCAGTGGTGTCTCTCCCACTAATAATGCTGTGGCTTGGGAGGCTGCTTCACCGGGTCCAAGCTGACATCTCCCAGGCCTGTACCCAGTCTGACTTCTCCTTAGCGCAGATAAGGTAAGACTGCCTCCGTCAGTGGGTGGCCACTTGATGGGAGCTGATTCCCCTGAAGAGGCCCTCTCCACCGGGATCATGGTTCAGGAGTCTGGGGCCCCACTCGGGAGAGATAGCCGCAGAGAGTCAGGTTAGGGTGCTTGCCCACTCCTTGGCTTTGAGTGTCTCCCCACCCCTCTGTGAAGGCTTCCATTCCTACAGTGAAGGCTTCCATTCCTTCCTTCTCCTCCGGGCTCTGGTTTTGTGGTAGAAGAACTGTTCACTTGTGCTGTATGTGGAACAATTTGTTCCCTCATGAATGCTCTGATGCAACTGTAGCCTGTGATGCCTGGAAGATGCTTCTGTCACACTCTGCACAAATAAATGTCTCAGAACTGTCTCAGATGGGCTTTTAACTGAGAGAAATGCCTAACAATTTTGAGAGGCTTCTCATATTTGTATGATTTTGGGGGCTCCACAGAATATTTGTTGTTGTCTCCCAGTTATAGTGAAACCCTCAATGCACCAGTGAGTAGGTACAGATTCTGGGGTGACAAGGTCTGGGCTAGCAAGAAGCTCCGGCCCCGCCTCCATAAGGACATCTTGAAAAGGTGATCTTTGAAGAGGCCCCTCCTAAGACCTGCAGGTGCCCAGCCTGCTCTTCTGGAGCTGAGTGTATTCTCCAAAGAAATACCTCCCTCTTCAGGCCAGGCCAGTTCTCTTCCTGGACAAGTAGGGAAGGTATTTCACTGCCTTGCCTGATAATACTGTCATTTATTGTTACAATTTTCTTTACCTTCACCTCTTAGTCCTTCACCTAGGGAAGTACCTTGGGGAGTTCAGGAGGGTTTCGCCACATTCTCCCCTTTGGGGTTTGTAAGGTAAGTGAAAAATTATGAGGCATTTCTGCCCTCCTGCCATTAGCATTAATGATGGATCCCTGTGGTCCTACATGTGTGCCTGATGGCAGATACCTGGAGTAGGGTGTGGGCATGCACAGATGGGCATACCTGGGCTGAGACTGTGCTTATAAGGGCAGTGTCACGGGGACGCAAGCAGAACAAGGAGAACGAGAAAGAGCAACAGCAGAACGAGAGCAGAACAAACAGAGACTCCAAGAGAATGCCTGAGAGCCCAGAAAGAGTGAAGATTTGCTGGGGGCCCAGGCCGAGTACCTGGGTGCTGCACTAGAAATGGTGTAAAAAGCTCAGTAAAAGCCTGAAAAGCCACTGAAGGCTCCAGGACTCTCCTTTACCCGTCTACCAGGATCATGGAGAACCTACTTTGTGCCATGCTGGCACTACAGGGTTCCTACTGGCAACTACTTGGCTAGCTGAACAATGACTTCTCTTAAGGACAAACTATCAGGAAAAAAGGTCAACTGTCCACAGGTGGATGTGGACGCCTCCCTCTCCACTGAACTTCAACTGATTCCTCCTGGCTGCAGGCTAAGCTGCCTACCATGTGGCGAGCTTTCTGCACTGGGTTCACCTTTCAATGTCTTCAATAGCTCCGTGATTTTCCTTCCCTGAGATGACTTGTGATAGTGTATTTTTAAAGAAAATGGTCTACACCTGTAAGGATCATGGGTTACTTGGGCTCTTTTTCACCTCCCTCTGCCAACCTCTATAAGGTAAGTGAAAAATTACCACCTGTGGCTTTGCTTTCATTGTCCACACATGGATCATGTCGGTGCAAAAAGAGCTTGGGAGTGTGAGCATGAGACATGCATGGACACCTGGGGCCAAGAAGCCTGAGCTCAGGGTATGTGCACCTGTGATTACAGGTGCCTGGGTGAGAAGCCAGAGGGCATGGGGCCCATGCACCGCTAATTATGAATGCCTGGGAGGAGAGATTGAGAAGAGAAGCCAGAGAGAAGGCAGGGAAAGAACAGGGAGATCACAGGGGCTAGGAGTTCAGTTACTGCCTTCCTGTCTCCCAGCCCGCTGGTCTGCCTCTGACACCAGTCCCCTGACTCAGCATTAAAAGCATACTGAGAGATACTGAAGGTCCCAAAATTCTCTTAGTCTGCTCAAGTCAACAATGAACCTGCCTGGTCTGGGATGGCTGCATAATACTCCCAAAACACATATAAAGGGAGTGGGTGCCAAACTTAAATTGGGCATGAGATAGATACAGCAGTGAGAATGAACACTTAGGTCAATATGAGTTGAAATGACCCACATATACAAAGGTAAGTTCTTAGGAGACTAAAGTGGAATACAGAATTTTCTCCCTTTTTTAAGCTTAAAGCAGGAAGCAGATACCTACTGGAGTAGGAGGGAGAAAAGCTGGGTCTCCAGGGAAAGCAGAAAGGCGAACCCCTCTGCAGGACTGACATCTAATGCAGGTGTCAGAGCACAGCCCCGAAGCCCCACGGCAGTCTAGCACGTGGACAGAAGCTCCTCAGGACACTCAGGGCTCTGAGTTGTCAGTTCATCAGCACAGGTGGGAACCAGCCTGTGGGTTCACCCAGCAGGCTGCTTTGTAGCAGCACTTAAGGTGCTCCTGGGGACAGTCCCCTGACTCAGCATTAAGGCATATTAAGAAACACTGAAGCCAATAAAATTATCTTCATCTGCCTGAATCAGCAATAAACCTGCCTGGTTTGGGATTGCTGCATAACACCCCAAAAATACATATAAAGGGAGCAAGTTGCTGCACAGCATTTCTGACAGGAATAACTCAAAGTGCTCATCAGGAGTCCTGGACTTTTCAGCAGCTGCTTATTCATGCCTGAAAGTTCTTCTCATCTCTACCCAGCTTCCCAAATAAAGGGGGCTGGGAGAAGCATCCCTCACCTCCCTACTCACTTCTGCCTATGGTAGCAATTTGGGTCAGGTGGGCACGCCACTCTTGAGGCATCAAAAATACCTCCCTGGCCTCCCTGGTGGCACAAGGGGTTAAGACGCAACCTATGAAGTTGTCCGCAGAACTCTGTAGCATGAATTTGATCCCGGCCGGCCAGGAAGCAACCCACATGGCACAGCAGATCTTTCCTGACTTGCCCGCTTCTCTCTTCAGCAGTGTACTTCAGTTAATCTGTCTGTTCTGTTTCCTACTCTGTCTCTGGGGAATCCTTTCATCCCCCACCCCCGCCCCGCCTCTGGCCTGTACCCCAGCTCTCGTGTGCATAAATAAATCTTTAAAAAAATACACCCCTGGTTATGTGGGGAGGATGGAAAGTTTTTATTTACTTAACCTGATTTTCTTCATATGGGAAGCTAAACCCTATGGAATGGGAAGAACATTCTTCAGCTGTCTGTAGAGGGAATAGGGACATCAGCTTGGACAGATGAAATTGAAATATAGAGACCTTAATAAAAACACTGTAACAGCTACATTAAATCTGTGTTGTGCAACAATCCCAGGCCGGGACATAAGCAACTATCCCAGGTTCATTGTCGATTCTCCAACATGAAAAGATTTTGGAGCCCTTGGTATCATTTTACAGGCCTTTAATGCTGAACCAGGGGAACAGGCCAGCAGGCAGGGAGACAGCACTGAGCCCCCAAGCACACTGCAAGGTATAGGGATTGCCACAATGGATAAGGCTACAGGGGCTGCCCAGGGGTCCAGGCCAGGCAGAGGAGGCAGCTGTGTACACTGAACAACTTGAGCTGCTGCCCTCCTCCCTTTGCCTGTGCCAGCCCAGACTGCAGGGGTGAGGATGGAAATATAAACAATGGCTCAGGGATGCTCCTGGATATTTTTAAGGACAGTAAACTTGGATCTAACTCAAAATCCTCAACTTTCATGAAGGACTAAAAATGAGGAAGGACATAAGCTCATCCTTCCGAGGCAACCTTACATTGTAAACTTGTTTAAGGAACATATTTAAACACTGTGAATGTAGAAAAATTACAACATCCCTACTCTAATATGAATATTTTTTCCTCATTACATATTTATCAATTTGCCTTTAAGCTAAAACACATGTTAATGGCCCAAATACTGACACTTTTCTTTTAAATCTTAGCCATCAATAGAAATTCAAACCTCATGACCATAGCAGACAGCAGCTTGTGGACTGCAATTTGGGAACCTTTAAATCACTGAATCTTCCCTAACTGTATACATCTGCATCTTCCACGGACTCTTCTAGAGACTGGCATCTTGGATAAGTGCCTGGTTTGCCTGACATACATTTTAGGTAAGGCCCACTGCTCTGCATGCATAATTTTCCGAAACAGTTTTAAGTCTGGTGACCACGTGGTGACCCTGAGGCTGCAGAAATGGTGGGAAGGGAAGCTGCTTTCACCCGCACAATACATTGACTTTTATCCTATAACAGGCAGCAGTGAATATTTAAATTTATCTTGCACAAATAGAATCCATGCCCTACACTGATACAACAGAAAATCCAAACCGCTAGGACTACTGCCAACACCAACGAATAAAGAGTACATTTCAGAATTGTTTGCCTTGTAATCTGATTGGAAAATGCCAGAAGCCCTGATAATGACATAATGCATAGTCAGGCCAAGTCAGCTTTCATTCCACTCCCAGTCACCTGGACCAATACCACTGGAAACTCAAGTCCAAAATGTCTACTTAGAAACAGCTGCTTGGTTAGTGTAGTTCTGTATCCTCAAAGAATAAAATCAATCTCTTTCATTCTTTTGACATAATTGATATTTTAAATTTTAAAAAGTCAAACATTTTAGAGCTTATATAAAAGATGCCAAGAATCCTGGGCCTCCCCTGGTGGTGCAGTGGTTGACCGCTGGGCTGTGAAGCTGCCCGCAGCCTCTGCAGCGCCGGTTCGATCCCCAGCCACCGGGTGAGGGTCCCACATGGCGCGCAGACCTCTCCTGCTGCACCTGCTGCTCCCCTTAGCAGTATATTTTGTCACTCTGCCTGTTCTGTTCCCTGCTCTGGCTCTGGTGAATTCTCTCACCCTCCCGCGCTTCTGACTGTACCCAGTGCTTGTATAAATAAATAAACCTTTTTTTTTTTTAAAAAAAAAAGATGCCAAGAATCCTGACTTTACACTAAATCAGGAATAATGGACACTCTAACACAAAGATTGTTGACAAAACAAATATGACCCAGTGGTGGAGAGAATTTCAGAAGAAGGTTGGTGATCCTGAGATAACCTAACCTGTTAGAAGGAAACGAAAGGAAAAAAAAAGGAAGCCTAATAAGTGTTTGAATGCTGGCCTGTCCTTTCCTTCATTAAATCACTCTCAGGAAAAAAGTCTCTGGTGCCCAGCCTGCATCCAATGGATGCCAAGGAAGACTCCTTATATGCTTCTACCAAGTAAGTACATACGGACATGGACCCGGACAGTTACAATAATCTATACCCAGAAACCAAGTAACTGCTATTCCAGTTTCAGCACTTTCTTATAAGAAAGGAAAAATAACTTAGTGTCCAACGTGGTAGTTTTCAAAATCAGTTTGGCAGAACTTGGAGATGAGGGAGGGATCTGAGGAGTCCTCCCCCACATGCCCACGAGCTAAAGGACAGTTCTCCTCTGGGGTCTATGGCTCCTTTGGAACTAGGTGTGAAATACTGTGTAAATATTTGAATCTTTCTGAGGTAAGATTAACAGATTGCATTATGGGGTCCACATAGTGAACCCCAAAAGGTTAAGAATTTCTGTTCTAGAGAAGAGGGTGGAGTGCCTGTAAAGGCCTCCTCAGGGAGAGCAGCCTTCCCTGGTGCCTTGCTTGGGAGAATGTGCCACTCTGTATCAGCAGGGGTGCATGCACCGCAGAGCTGACGGCACCATTTGGGGTCACATCCTTCTTGGAAAGTCATCCTGGGACTGCTGAGGAGACACAGGCTGCCACGAACAGTACTGCTTGGGTACCTCCAGAAATATGCTAAGCACTTAGCAGAGGGAAGCAGGCACTTTCTATGAACATATGTTGTGGAAAATGGAGACTTTTCACTAGTTGTAAGGTGGTTTGACATGAGGTTTGTCAAGACCATGGTAAAAAGAATGAAAACAAGGGTCAGTTTGTCAAGCAATGGTAACACTGGGGAAGGACCCTGAGGCTTCCTAATTTGCTGGCCCCTGAACCAGCTTCCCCCAGAAATACACCTACCTGTGTGAAGGAAACTTCTTCTGTAGCTCAGAAATAATTAGATCTTCGACCAGGTGGTCCGTTTCTGTCACAAGATCTGCAGCTGTTGTTTTTGTTGAGACATGTTTTTCTTCAGAAAGAGCTTTTCTGATGATCTGAAATAAAAGTATAGGAAGCAGGATAAACTGATGAGCAGCCTCCTCCCCTGGACAAATGAGCACACATCCTCCTGTGAGGTCAACTCTGAACTCAGGCTTGTGGATCTGTGGACCACATACTTCTTCTGTCACACAGGCCTTCAGGGCTTAACATTATACCCAAGACTATATGGATTGCTAGTGAGTCTTAATTACCCACTAGCCTTTTCACAAGACAGACAGATTCACTTGACGAAGTTATTTTGTCTTATCTGTGCAATAATTTTTCTTGGAGGAAAAAGAAAAACATGGTTGAAAAATGATGTAACACACCTTTATCCCCTAAGATCCATGAATATGAATTTATGAGATTTTAGTGTTAAAACCTCTTTTCCTTATTTTACTTTACAAATCACATGAAATATTCTCTTGAATGCACATTACAAATGTTCAGACTGAGACACCTAAAGAAACCTAAGGGTAGCTAAAGCTACTTCCAGAAGCCGAGGACATGTTCTCCTTGCTGATTTCAGTCAGGGCATCATCACCATCAATGGGACTGGCCTCACTGAGTCCTCAGGGTGCAGCTAACAGGCAAGCTTTGTAGATATGGAGCTGCCAGCACAGCACACCCAGTACAAACCCACTCCCACTGAATGTAGTGGTGCAGGATGGAGGGTACCAGCTTGCCAGGATCCCCAGCCTGGCCTAATATGATTCCAGGAATCCTAAGGATACCCAAACAGGAAGACACGTGGAGTGGTTAACCAGTCACAGGATGCCACTGGAGGGATCAGTTTCTTCTGTGAAATCAAAAACATTTCTATTCCAGTTCAGCCCTTCTCATTTCTGCCCGCTGCAACAATCTGATGGGTCTGTGACCTTGATAAACAAGTCAGGTCACCTAAAATGACTTCAGACCTATCCTCTCAAACTAGCTACCATCCCCAAATTACTGCATCTTTTTGCAAAGCACAATCACTCACCCAACTCCCCAGACTTGACACCCCTTGCCCATTGGATACTTCCTCAGCCTTAGATTAGCATCTGCTGGTGCCTTTTCCATGTCTGGCCTGCACTGTACTAATGACATGGAGAAGGAGGGACGCAGGAAGAGATTCATCTGGAAGTCTGCAGGGAGAAGGCACTGCTAACAGGGAACTGTACGGAATAAGCAGAACTAGCACCCATCAAGCACTCCTCCCTTGTTTTTCGTTGTAGCCCCCTACCTCAGTGCTGGTTCAAACAACAGGAGCAGGTTTTGCTTGTTTTTTTTTTTTTTTTTTTTTTTTTATGCGTTGCAAAAATTACAGATGCATGTTATAGGAAATTTGGAACATAATATATTTTGCAAATAACACATGAGACAAAGCCTAAAGTAGTCTTGCATGTCCATTAACTAAAGATAGCCTCGACTGTCTGCCACCTGGGGCCTTTCCTGCTCTACTTGCAACATCCTGCTCCTCACTATCAGGTTAATCTCCTTAAAATACCAATTTGTACACAATAAGGTCCCACCAGACAGATACCTGCAGGTTCCCTGGTTATATCTTCAACTCCTTAGAGGTCTATCTCATGTAGCACCTGCCCTGTCCTCCAGGAATCCTTAAATTTTGAGCTAATCCAGACCTTTTGTCCATAAGGCCACTTGATAGTGAGCTGGTATGACAATTCAGTATGCTGTGGTATGTGTCCATGTGGTGTGTGTCTGTAGTGTGTGTACACTTCATGTGTGACATGTGTGGCTTACCATACGGGTGATGGGGTATGTGTGTGTGGTGGGTAAGCATAGAGAGAAGAAAGACACCTTAGCTAGAGGACATGCAGCCAGCACTTCTCAAACTCGAAGGTGCATTAGTTACTCAGGGTCTTGTTGACATCAAGATTATGGCTAAATAGGTGTAAGTTTGAGATTTGAAATTGCATTATAATATTACACAAGTTTTAGGTGTTTATTAATGAAATCAACATGTATATTCAGTACATTAACTTCATAACAAGATTTGCATTTCTGACCGCGGAAGATTCTGTAGTGACACCAAAGCTGAGAGCCACCTGGAGCAGGTTTGCAAACCCGATGAGGAAGGGTCTCCCCATGTCTGCCTCTACTGGCAACTTGCGGTGCAGCTCAATGACTTATCCTCTCCCCTGCTGCCAATCCCTCAGGTTTGCTTTGCTATCTGCTTAGAACCTGTGAAGATCCTGCACATCATTTTTGATTCCTTCCTCTCATCCAGGTACACACCCAAATATTTTTATTCCATTTCGGAACTGTTTTCCAAACTACACTGCCCTTCTCACACTGCCATCACTCACCTGTGTTGGTAGGTAAAACAGCCTCCAAACATCTATCTGCCCCACTGAAGTGCTATCCACTCTGGATGGAATGGCCAGATCTTTCAGAAAGATCTAGCTCCTGGCACTCCCTGTGGGCTGCTGGGCCGTGTGCTACATGAGGCCCTCTAACAACCAACTTGAGTAGTGCTTGGCATACCCCCACACAAATGCTCCCTCCCTCTGGGTGTTCTTTCCTCCTTCCTACCCTCCTTTGAAGTCTTCCACATGATGTCCTTTCTGCATGCAATGAACACCTGAATACCTCCTGTTCATCCGTCCTTGAGCACTATGCTTAGGTCATCTCCAGGGATCTTTCTTCAGGGATCTCGCCCACCATGGGCGAGAGGCCCTTTCTCTTGGGTCAGTGGATCACACCATGGTATTCTATCACTGCCAGGCACACCTGTCTCTTTGCTAGACTTTTAGCTTCTGGAGGGCAGGCGATCTGTCTTTCATCTCAGTAGCTCTCGACCCACCCTCCCCACAATGCTAAGCAGGCTCCACCCTTCCCTTTGGGACTCAGGCCCATTATAGTACCAGGCATGGTAAAGGAACTTGACCCAACCTAACTGGCAGCTATTTAAATTAGCTTCCTTTAACTCACCAGCAAGGTAATGTCAGTAAGTTATGCTAAAAAAACTTTCTCAAGAACTCTATAGTTCTTCATGAAGAAAATGCGTATGAAAAATACCGCTGTTCAGAATGTACTTCTTACATCCACTCATTTCCTAACAGCAATAAACCTACAATTCAGCATCAGATAAATCTGTTTTTTTTCATTTTTACATTTATTCATTTATTTTTATATGCAGAAAGCAGATGATCAGATCAAATAGCTAAATGTAATTTCAAAACAAAGACAAGCATTCAAGCCAACTCTTGGTAAGCAGCTGCCCTCAAACATTACATATAATAGTTAATAAGGACAAACAGATGTATTGTAAAATTTTTCTTTTTCTAGTTGTTAATAAATTCTTTAAACATAATTCTCTAAACTATGTTTTTTATTATAATTTAAGGAATAATTATTATTTGAAGACTACAGTACTTTCTTTTGCTCTGAAAAAAGGTTATAGTATTTAAAAGATCAGCCCAGTTTTTTTTTTTTTAATTGTATCAGTTTTATATTAAGGTAACGCTGGTTTATAGTACTATACATGATTTAGGGGTAAAGATTCATATCGTCTCAGTTGTATGTTACCTACCACACCCACAACCAATGCATCCGTAATCCTCTACCATATTCCATTGGGCCCCCTCCCACCTTTGCGCCTCTTGCCCACTCTTTCCTTCTGGTATCAATTCTGCAGTCAGATTTCTAGGGTTTATTTTGGATTAATTTTGTCTTTAAATTCCACATGTGAATGAAATTATCTGGCTTTTGTCTTTCTCCTCTGACTTACTTCACTTAGCATAATCCCCCCCCCACCACCAGTTTCATCATGTTGTTGCAAGTGGCAAGATTTCATCTGTTTTTACAGCTGAGTAATATTCCATTGAGTATATATACCATGTCATCTTTGTCCGCCCATCTGTCATCAGACACCCAGGCCGCTTCCTTAATTTGGCTATTGAAAAATGTGCTGCAATGAACACAGGAGCACAAACGTCTTTGAACTAATATTTTTGTATTCTTTGGATAGATACCTAGGCATAGAATTACTGGATCCATATGGCAGATATATTTTTGATATTTTGAGAAACCACCATACTGTTTTCTATAGGGGCTGGACTGGTCTACATTCCTACCAACAATGTGCAGGGTTCCTTTTTCTTCATACTCTTGCCAATTCTTTTTGTTTCTGGTCTTTCTGACATAGGACACTCTCACAGGAAAGAGGAGAAGGGGATAACTTAATGTGATTTTGATTTACATTTCCCTGATAAGTGATGATGAATATATTTTTATGCCAGTATTTTTTTTTAATGTCTTAGTAATTCTATTACTAGCTATTTGAGTTGACTCTTACAAGAATCAGGGAAATGTGAAGTCAAGCTTCACTTTTAGGAGACTTTGGGGGAATCACAGAGCGTCCTAAAACCTGTTTCCTTGTCTTTAAAAGCAGTAGTATCTAAGATACTGAATTGCTGTTAAGAATTAGATGAGGAATTGTATGTAGGTAATGATCTTGGTTCACAAAGCGATTCATCTATACACACAGAGCTCTACTACTATAAACGGTGATTTGTGAGAAAAAAATCTCACAAAATTTAATGATTTACAACAAAAACTACCATATACATGATGCACGAATTCCAAACAGTATGTTAAAATGCTAGGTTAAGAAAATTTTAATTCATACATTTTTGTACACTGAGATGAAAGGCAGTGATGGTGTTATATTTGAAAACATAAACGCATATTAGATTTACAAAGCCCTACCATTTAGTCAGTCATAACCATAGGAGACCTGCTTGTGGGGGCAATCTCATTCTGTCAGCAGTAAGTTAGTATATGCTGTTTTCTAATTAATGTTTTTGCTACTCACTAAGCATGCGTTGCACAGATCTCCTGATCTGGCCTCTTGGTCCAAATAATATTCTGTTAATGTTAAATATATAAAAATGGGCCTTTAGTCGCTGAAGTTTGAATTTCAAATCTAAAAGAAAGGACACCATTAGCTCTAGCAGCGGACTCATCACTCACAGACATGCCTGAGTGCCTCTTTCTTGTCTGTACA